TACACTGCCTTCAAAATCAGGCAGGAGATATCATGGCTTGGTCCAAATCATGCTCTTTTGAAGACTTATTTCTGAGAAAACATATTCAGAAACATCAAAACTCTTAAAAGCGTTAAAGAAACACAATGCTGTTGAAAGAGAAGTGTTTCATTTGAGTTTCTTAAACTAATCAAAACCATTTTGTTTCAAATTAGAGCAATATCAAGCTACATTTCCTATCGCTACCACTGCCTGATCAGGCTCAGCGTAGAGCTCAGAAGCCTGACGCCTTCTCTCCCATGAGACAACAGAGAAAACTTCACTTTTGGAAAAACTGCCTTTTTTTTTTTTTTAAATGAAATAACCTCATCAGAATTAGGCCACATTCTGCCAGATGTGCTTTCCTGAATGTCAGACAAACCCCATCGAAAACTTCAGCTAATGGGCGTCATTACTGGTTACTCACAAATAATTGCTGAGGGAACACGAAGCTGGTTTGGGGAACCAACTGCTCACTAGCAGCAGAGCCTGGCACTGAATGATACTCAGTGGATGAAATCCCACTGCTTGGGTCAGCGTGCCCAGTGTCACCTAACCTCCTCCCCACCACCGGGGCAATGGCCCCGGGGTACTTTCCACCTCCTCTCCTTGCAGGTGCCATGCTGCTTACAGCCCAGAGAGGCCATCTCGAATGGTGCTGGGGACATCCCAGGGACACAAGTCCCAGGCAGAGTGAGCCCCCCAGGCTGTGCACCATGGCTGTTTGGTGAAAAGAGCCACAGTTTAGAAGAACCTCAGTACATTTATCACTTAGATACAGTCATCCTGGCACGGTTACAGATCTCAGCCCTTTTCTTACGTCAAAAGGACCGTATAAGCTGTCCGAAGACTCACTAGATGCCTTAGTCCAACATTTAAATGGCAACAACACCCTGCTTAACCATCCTCCGCCCAGGGTGGGAAGTGCGTTGCAGCTGCTCAGGGTCTGCACAAGCCTGGCTCAACCCCCACCAGATGTGTTCCCGCTTGTCTCTCCCCCGGAGCCCAATCTGAGGGACCAGCCATCACACCTCCTGTAGACAGGGGGTGGGCTGAGGGCCTGGAGGGGCCGTGCTGCCCCAGCATGGGCACAGGCCCCACACCTCGCCGGCACGGCTGTACCCTGCTGCTGCGCTTCCCCGATGAAATGCTCCAGTGGAAACCAGCCTGCGGAAGGGGTTGTTGTCCGCCATCCCAAAGTGCTGGGATCCCATGTGGACGTGGGCTGCCCCCCCAGGTACTGGTCTCCCTAGACCTGTGCTGGAGAGCCCCCTGCCCAGCTGCTGCATTTGGGCGCCTCGGTTTCTATGTAGAACTTGATTTGTGGTCCGTTGTGCACCAAAAAACCCGAGAAGTTGGGAACTGCGGGACCAGCCCCTAACATGCCAGAATCCCCTCTCTGAACCCTGCCTGTGTCTTTCTGCTTCGATACAGGTTTTTAAGCACAGCAGCCCTTCTCATTATCGCACGTCCTCTCCTGCTGACGGCGAGACCCTCGGGTAACTCCGCATTGC